ATAAATTATGAAATAAATGATGAAATAGATAATGATAGGTGTTAATTAATGAAATATATTATCTAATGAGTTATTTTTGTCATCTTTTTATTTTACTATTTTTAAAGATATTTTGTTTTTCAAATATTTTTAGAAATTGTAATTTTTCTTGAATTTATAAAATTATTGTTACTACTGTAACAATAGTGTTTTGTTGGTGAATATCTAGAGAATTCCGAATTTCCTAGCGATTATGTTGAGGTTATATAATTTTTTCCTAAATTTAATGAATTATTAGAAAATTACTAGAAAATCACTAGAAAATTCGAAATTTCTTTAGAGATTCACCAAAAACCCCACTAGTGTACCAACTCTTTTATACCTGTATTATATATATACGATTTTAATTTTGGCTATGAGCAATTTTGGATTTATTGTTTGTCAACTTATATGCAATAATAAATAATAATGGATGAGAATAGAATTATTTTGTGAGTTTCTGTTAATTAAATCTACTTCTTTGTGTCCTCATAGTTTATATGCTTTGCGTTTAGTTATATAATTTCTAAATAATAATTGAATTAAATAATAAATAAGACTAGGTCAGCAAAAAAATATCAATATATATTATTAATATTTATGCCTCAAGAAAATAAAGCATCGGCTTTCGGTTGGGAACGATTTTATATCACTAGGAAAAACTAAGTAGAAAAGCAGTGGAACGACCAAAACTTTAAATATTTCCAAAGCGTTTTCTTCTAGTGGTATCAATTAATAACACTCGTTTAATACAATTAGTGTTGATTACCTATACTTACAATCATAGCGCCTAAGATATTCTTTTAAACAAAATTTCGAGCTGAGCATTTTTTACTAGTTACCCAATCTTGGTTTACTTAATAAAAGTTTGAGCTATTGGCGATTTTTTGCTTTTGAGTTTTTCTGATTGGTTACCAGAACTCACTATAAAACCATTAAAGTTTTGGTCGTTCCATCTAGAGGTTCCACCAATATGGAACCTTAATGAAATCATTAAGAAACCCAAGATTCCTGTAGAGGTTTCTGCACACACACACCCCTAGTGTACTGACCCTTTTCTACCTGTGTAACTACGTCATCAAGAAATATACATGTAACTACAGATAAATCTGGATGGACCTATAATTATGATGAAGGTAGTCATGAGTGACACTTAGTGCGACAGGGGATTATCTTTGTTAATCTACTTTTATAACTTTATGTATATATAAAGCTTTATTTTACTTATTCATAAATATGCAATTATTTTAAATAATATAGTGTGACTATAGATTTTTTGTACAATTTTTTTTAAATATTACAGATCAATATAAATTTAGAATTGGCAGAGTTGTGTGAAGTAATGAATATTAATGTCTCAATAGATCGAACTAAATTATGCATATCAAAAAAAATACTTTAATTATTGTATACATTTTTTGAGCTTACTGGTGCAGCTGATCAATCAAGAATTCACGGATTAGTTCCTTATATTGGTCCAGAGATGCTAGCTGGAAAGCTATACACTGAAGCTACAGATATTTAGAATTGTGACAGGCGAAAGACCATTCGGTGAACGGAGTCATGAACATTATATTGTGTACGATATTTATGAATGATTACGACCTAAGATGCAAAATAACGATAATGGCGCAAATTTATTATTGAAAATGTTGAGACCATATTCTAGAAAACAGACCAACAGTTAAGTAACTTCACGAATTTATCGAGTCTATCTACTGTTACCGAAGTAACATTAAATCTTTTGATTCCATAATTTGACCCTTAATTTCCACATGAATATCTTTCCATAATAACCTACACGATAATCTTTCCATAGCCTTGTGTAATTTATATGGAAAAACAAATTTAGGAATATTCCGTTATGAATGAACATTTTGTTCTTCAATATTAATGCACGTAACGATAGTGATTATCAAAAGAACGACAATTATCTGACAATTGAAAGACATCAAGCGATTATTGCTTGATCGTTTTAGAAGAAACCATCGATGTAAATTCCTAACCTTAGAATTAGCGTAGCGGTAGGATTAGCATAGTAATTTAAAATTGTATATAGAAGCGTACTTGAGTCTCTGAGAAGACATGCTTTAATCTAATAAAATAACAAAGTGCTTGCTTGTAGTAATAATATTACTTGTGGATACACCATTATTTTGATTAAACTTCAGTGGATGCTCCTCCACTTAAAATAAGCAGTTATTTTCTTTGATTTAATTTTGCTTTCTTGAACGGGCCGTATCAATAAGTCCTGTGGAATAAATTTTGTTTTCTTAGACAGGCCGTGTAAATAAGCCCTGTTGAATTAACTTCTAGTATCGAGTTTTTCTCTGAACAGGCTGTATCAATAAGTCCCGTTATGCTTGCGATTGTTGAATAAACAAGATTTTATTATCATATTGGTTCGATTTTCGTTACAAGAGTAATTCTATTCTATTCTATTCTCCCAAAAAAACGCCTCCATCATCATAAAGAAAAGGTCGATTTGTGTACAAGTCGCCACGGGAAGCCTTTAGAACACACAAAGAAACCCTTTAACCGTAAATAATTCGGTCTAGCTCTCACCCGTTGCAGAAAATCCCTTAATCGATTGATTGTTGTGATAAACGTAACAGTTTGGTGCCCCATCCGTTACGAAATAAACTCTTTTAGCTAAATACCTAAAGGAACCAACACTACTTGCTATGTTTATTAATATAACAACACGTTAGACTAGAAATTCTGAGTTTACATTATACCAATACTTAGAATTTAATTTTATGTCTACGTAATTTATTGGAATAATAAAGACTCCTTACAAATATGGTAGTTCTAAAACCACGAATATGGTTAAAATAATCTTCGTCATATATCGATATTTCTTGATCGATAATCACGTTAAATACATGTACAGTACCCCCAAAAAGTAACGCCTGATTCAAAATCAAAAGTGAAAATTCCAATACATATCCGATTTATTTTATTTCTAGCAATTTACACATTAATAAAAAACTATATTTAATTAATATTTTGTCGGCCTTCATTAATACTGCATCAATTTACCTTGGCATTGAGACAATAAACTCTTCAAAAACGAGACATCAAGTCTCTCCTGTTCCTCCTTTAATGCGACTTTAAGTTCACCCACAGTCCTGAAAAGACCTCATAATTTGAACATTGTCCTTCACCAAATGTTTTCGATTGGTTTCAAGTCTGGCGAATTTTCCGACCAGTCGATAGTCGTGATTTTATTTTCCAACATCCAATTCTTGATTTATCCCGCGGTATGAATTGGCACGTTGTCCTGTTGAAAAATCGTGTAGTTTCCCGGATTACGTTTTGAAATGGGTTTTAAAATTTCAAGGCAAGTATTTGCATTTATTTTTTCGTTATTTTTTTATATTCATCGCAAAAAAATCAACGGTCCTTTTAATCCTCCCGCGAAACACCCCCAAGTATTACGGATTTTCAACCACTTTAAAAAGTGGATACCAAAGAATTGTTATACTTCTCTCCTGGATGCCGCCAAACTCTTAGTTGTTGTGACGGCTTCCCAATTTCCACACTTCTCTCATCAGAAAAAATAACTTTCGCCCAATAATAAGCTTTTTTATGCATACTTTCTCACACCAGTTAAAACGAGCATACGCATGTATTTCTGAGATTAAGGGTTTCTTTGCTGTGATACATGAATGAAGTCCGAAGTTGTGCGGCAGTTGACAAACTGCAGTTAAGACCTAAATTACTCACAATTTCGCGGAGTGGCGCACGTCGCTTGTCAGTAGCTTCACATATGAGCAAGTGTTTTTTATGGTTGCTAAGAGTTGGCGGTCTTCCGGAATGTGGTAAGTTTTTAAGTTCGCTTAGCTGCGTACGAGTGGACGTCATTTTTTAACATAACAATACATGTACATGTATTATGATGCTGACGATGTTATACAAGACAAACAAACGTGAAGTTCTGTGTAAAAATGGGAGAAAACTTGATACATGTATATTAATTTTGGGGGTACTGTACATACTAAGCTTGTATATTCATCTATTAGTGCTTCTTAGCGAGTTTAACCCGTGTCAGCGCTGCATCGCCTTTTTTCTTTGGTGCGAACACATTGCTAGTTGCGATTCTTTCCGCAACTCACTAAAAACTAATAACATTCTTATCTCAATTTATAATCTATCTTATGCGATACATTCATTTCTCTGATTTGATCTGATTTTTTTAGGTTCGCGTTCGTATTCTGATGGCAGCAGAGATCGCAGTTTATATCGATATCGATTTATGACGAACTGATGGTTCTTTAAGTAAAATCAATTTTACTAATAGCCTCAAGGTTAAATCGAGGGTGGGTTAGATTTTCTACGAGGGGTATGCAGCATTTTACAGTATGTTCATCTGAGAAAACCAGATGAATATTCAATTAGGAGATTAAAGTTTAATATTAGAAAATTGAAAAATTCCCAAAAATTATCACTGTTAAGACAATATTTGTTTGAACAAAGAAAAATCATTGATATTGTTAACGTTAATCTACTTGCGTATTTCTTTATTAATTTTATAAATGTAAAAGAAAGATGTGTGAAGCTTATGAGTGTAACTATCGTTATTTTTATTCTTGAACTGAATAAAGTATTCGAGAAACGTTCTGATGTTTAATTTTGGTGTCTTCATTATCGTCCTTTGCATTATCATTGTCGTCCTTTCTCTATGACACCTTTGCATTATCATTGTCGTCCCTTGTGTTACGTTATAATTGTCGTCCTTTCTCTGGCACACTTTTATTGCAAGTTATATTTAGTATGTCAAGCAACAAGTGTTTCAAACTTTCTCTATGACACGCTTTTACTGCAAGTTATATATTTAGTATATTCAAGCAACAAGTGTTTCAGACAGAAAATTTCCTTATAAAAAGAAGCGTTCACTCCCAAATCCTCATTCTTCAATTGTTGAATTAACAGACAATCAGCAAAAATAAAAACATAATATCACACCAAAGAAATTAACAATGGCTATCTTCAGAAAATTTATTGAGGTCGCTTTGATACTGGCAATCTGTCTCTTCGTTTTACCTGACGCAATGCCAATGCCTAATCCAGGTGATGTTACCCACAACGGCAACCTCGCAATGCCAATGCCTAATCCAGGTGTTAACGGCAACGGCAACGTCAACGGCATCAGAAGCGGCCAGTGATTTCATTAGTATTACATGCGTTTAAGATCGATAAATGTATGTTTCTAAATGATGAAAAGCAAAAATTTTTCGCCCTTATTATATATGTATAGTATCAATTTTCGTTTGATCATTTTTTTCTAAATCCGTATTATTTTATCTTTCTATTTGTGAAGTCGGAATACTTGTACAAGTTCAAGTTGTAAGATTCCCTAGTTCTTTACAGAAGTCTTTTTGCTTAAATTGTTTAATTATGAACTCGAATAATTTAATTGTCGATTGAATTATAATTTGATTTGAATAAATGATTTGTTGCAAGAACTCTGAAAATAACGATAGCGATAGTTAACCAAAATAACTCGAGATCCAAGTTAGTTCATCAGACACATGTGCGATATCTCGTTATCGTAAGATCTTGAAAATTTTTACTTGCTATCGCTATTAGGCACTAGTAATGCTTTAAAGATCATGTAAGGATAGTTAATAGCATCAGAGGACTCTGGTGGCGGGTGCGACTCCTGGAGCAAAGTCATTTTCTCAAGAATGGACTGCAAACTAATCGTGGAATTAAAGAATTTGAATTGGACTTCATAATACCGATAGTATTATTGAGATTGATAATTTTTATAATTTAAATTATGAATTTATCAATTTTTTTGCCGGACAACTTTGGCTCGAGCGCTGTCTATGTACATTCCAGAATATTATTATCAAAAGTAACAATAGTGATTAACAAGAAAAGGGGAGACAGATATCTCGATAATTGTCTGGACAATTGGAAGACGAAAAGCAATTATTACTTTATTGTCTCAAAAGAAACTATTAATGTAAATCACTAACCTTAGCATAGAATTAGCGTAATAATTCAGAATGGTATATAGAAGCATCTTCGAGTCGCTGAGAAGACATGCTTGAATCTAATAAAATAACAAAGTTCTTGCCTGTAATAATAGTATTACTTGTGAATACACTATTATTTCGATTAAACTTCGGTGGATGCGCCTCCACTTAAAATAAGCCTTTGTTTTTATTAGAATTGATTTTGTTTTCTTCGTACAGGCTGTTTCAAATTAGATTCAAACTTCTCTAAAGTGCAGTAATTTTGGAAATTATTGAATAACTAAAAACCCAGATACTCGATAGTGATGAATATGCAAAACAAAGCAATATTTGCAAATACAGTATATTAAATCCACAATGAGGAATTTATCTATCGTGACTTTCACTCTAAAAATACATTAATGCAGTCCCCGGCGAAAGTAATGGTGCCAGTTTTTTATTATATTTCATTAAATTGTATAATAAATTAAAAAAATTTATCTCTCTTCCGTGTCAATGCAAGTTCAAATATAATTTAATGTTCAAAAAATTTTGTAACTTGAACGTTTTTAACTGAAATCACAATAATTTGATGAATATTATTTTGAATAAAATAAAATTACAGTGACGCTCGTTACAGTAACAATATTAAAGATAACATCTCGTTATACTAACACAAAATCTCTTCCCCAGATCTCATTATTGTAATAAGCTTTCATAGTACAGTGGGCGCTCGATACAATAACATGATCGGGGGAAGAGATTTGGTGTTATTATATCGAGATGTTACTCTATCGAAAAAATAAATACTATGAAAACTTATTACAGTAATGAGATCGGGGAAAGAGATTTTGTGTTAGTATAACAAGATGTTATCTTAAAGATTGTTACTGTAACGAGCGCTCACTTTATTTTTTTGATAGAGTAACATCTCGTTATACATGTAACACCAAATCTCTTCCCCCGATCACGCTATTGTATCGAGCGCCCACTGTACTACCAAAATGCTCGCCATATTAAGGCGAATATAAGAAGACCAAAATCTGATCACTGACTGGTTGTCGAGCAAATAAGCTTTGAAAGTTTCAAAAACCTGCAATCGGAAAAATGACTTGCCGTGATGTGCTCCTATTGGATTTTCGCAAATTCATCGCATTTTTATGGTGCAGGAACTCTTAAATCGACAATATGTTTCATGTTAAAAAATCTATCAACTTCTTAACTAAGAAATAAATACAAAATTTAACCGGTAATATTATAGAAAAGAACTTTCTTGATAATATTACCGGTTAAATTTTGGATTTGTTTCTTCTTAGTTAAGAAGTTGATAGAATTTTTAGCATGAAACATATGGTCGATTTAAGAGTTCCTGCACCATAGAATCTGGCACTAATAGAAAGATTTGATCGGGTTATTTCAATATGAGTCCAGTGATACTGTTTGGTGAGTGGATTCATGACATACATCTCGTATTTGACGTATATAAAGGAGTGGACCTAAGATACCAGATAATGTTCCCAGATGGTGCAAATTTATTATCTAGAAAACAGATCAAACTGCTGAAGAACGTTCTGACCTTATCAACTCGATCTACAGTTATAATAAGAACTGGATACTTGCATTTTCAGTACTATCGCAGGTGAGCGCAAATATGTTATTATTTTGTCCGAAGTTTTGAGTCATTAATTGCTGATTCAATTTCCCATTCTCTTTATTTAGGATTATTAAATTCTCTAAGTTAGAATGTATTGATGAGTAGTGGTATAGGATCGTTAGTTATAAAGTTGCTGAGATTATTACGTAGTTTATACGTATATATCTCTTTTTGTAAGAAGATCAATATAAAAATGAAAAAGAAGCGACTACTTACAAGAATTGAAGAACTTGATATAAGGAGATGGAACTGCAAAAAAGTATTCCAACGAATATGAATAAATTTCAAAAACATCACCCAAATGCAGTTTACACCAGTCGAAACTTTACTACAAAGTTACTTACAATTCCAAATGATACAGGTACATTTATTTCTAAGTATAGTATGAATCATATCGACATTTAATATTATATCGAATATTTAGGTTCTATAGTCCCCCTCATATTTTTATTAAAGATATATATATATATGGTCATAAATAAAAGTCTATTCGAAAAAATCATTCGGGATGAATGTGTTCATTATTTTTAGTATACAAGTGAAATTTGATATAGGAGAGCAATTTGTTCCAATCACATTTTCTCTTATCTCAAGTGATTCTTATTAGTTTATTATAACGAAAGATATTTAAATGAATTGGGACTTTGAAATAGTCTCTTATATTGAATTTCATTTATAATTCTCAGAGTTTATTGACATTTAGTCACCCCCATTATAAAATTCACGCAGCAAGAAATGATACCGATACGACTCATTATGCCGAACAATTAATTGAGGAGTTTTGTAAATATATTATTTGTAAAGCTTGGTGTTTACGTCAAACTAATGCTAACCAAGTGTAGAGATAGGAACCAGTTCGGTATAACCTGTTGCAAAGTTCCAAAAGTCGGTCAAACAAGATAAACTTAGATTTTAACTGGATTGAAGGATTTTGTGAAGGGATGAATATTATTACTTCCATTTCTTTTTTCTAAAACCTGAATTACATGCTTTATAAATCAATAATCATACCTAATTTTGCTTAAACAATAAAGATCGTGATATGGTGCCGGAAGTCATAACTCGACAATCACGTGATCCTGTTTCAATTTTCTGATGGCGATCCAATATCACGTTTTTTTGCATTCGACCAATAAAATAACGATATTTGAATCACGTGAAATGATGCAAAACCAATTTTATTTATTGCATGATTTACATTATGATAATTCGGGCTGGCACTATGATAATTTAGCATTAGTATAGTGCCGGCTTGAATTATAATGAAATACCAACCAATAAAATTACGTTCATGTGATAAATATTCGCGTGGTTTGTTTCAATTTGGATCGATCATATAAAAAGTGACCAAGTTTAAACGTCTATAACTTTTTATCTATGATTTTTTTTGAAAATTTGACCGGTAGTTTTAATATAGCTTAAAGAATAAAGTTACTGGTTTAATTTTTCTAATTCCATTTTTGTAAAGTGTTGAAAGATTTTAAAAATAATCCATGTTATTGTTGAGTTATGATTTCCGGCACCATATATATTACGTAATATTCCGGGGGAACTGAGAGTGTCTTATGTAATATAAAGAGTCACATATTTCAAACATCTTATCTGGGGATTCTATAGTAATATAGTCACAGTCCTAACTGTATAGGAAAGATATATTTTAATTTCAAATTTATCATAACGATAACATTAATACATGTCTTAGCGTTATACATGTACTAAAAATTATACTATCACTACCAGTAATAATCATAGCTAAGCAAATCGATCTGCTTCTGTTCGTAAGACAAAGTATGTACATGTAACTAGCATTGTTTTCTTATAATACAGCATGGGAAGTATGCATCTACGTACATATATGTACACATTAAAAAGTACATGTACATTAATACAATACTTTTCTATTCACTTTCTAATTGTCGATTGTGAATCATTGATTATGCTCGCATGTCGATATCAATGAAAACAAATAAAGTGATGACAAAAACTAAATTCAGATAACAAAGAATTACGATAATAACATAAAGAAGAGGCAATTAAACTAAAGGCCATAAAAATCGTCATGTGCAAGATATTGCTGCGTGATTCAATGTATCTCCGTGCTGGGTGTACATGCACTTATTGAAAGTCTACCGCTACATTGTATGCATAGTGATAGAAATATCCCAGATAACAATACGTAATGATAATTATAAGTGCATTTAGATAAATACATGTACGTAGCTTGTGCTCATTTGTACATGTAGACAGGATTAACTACGTACGTATAGACAGTTGATATCGATATCGATACATGTATTATACATTATTTATGGCTCCGAGCATTTTGATATAAACCAATACAAAAATCTTAATATTTTATTTCCGTAAAATATACTAATTTAAGAGGATGTTTTACGCGAGATATTTTGATAAATTATAGATCTATTTTATGTCCGAGATTATTAAAAGATATTTTTGATTCATAATTAATAACAAAGTTTTTATTAATAGAAGATTTTATAGTAAGGCCCTTATTTTAAAAGTATAGTAAGCTCGTTTTGAAGAGAGTGGAAACTTTAATAAGAGTGACATAATCTATACAAGTATACTAAACTTTTTCATAGGTGTTTTTAATATAAGAAACATTTAACTTTACTCGATAGGAAATTTGATAAAAGTTTTACAATGAATCACCAGATTCGCAGATATTCTTTAGGGCTTGAAGGGATACGAATAGTCGACTACTCTCCGTTACTAAAACAAATCTGTATAAAAATTTTTGCTTACATTTACGTATCATTGCTTAGGCGCTCGGCAACTTCAATGATATTTTTACACTAGATTTTGTTTTTACGCCGCCGCTTCTAATAACATTAATTTTGTGAACTATAAATAATAAAATATCAACAGAAACAGTACCTTTCTTAAAGCCAATGCGCGTTCCTGAAAGATTTTGTGATACACAGTTTAAAATGTGGAATTCCAAAGAAGTCTAACAAAAGCTTCCCAAAAAATGATATCA